TTTGATTGAAGAAGTCATTTTTCATTCCCTTGAGCTTCATGATCACTTCCTCCTTGAGAACTAAATCATTTAATCGATTGTCAGTGAGGAGCGTGACGCAGCGCGGAAGTAGTAGCCTTGGAATCCACCAAGGACAATCTTTGAATCCACGAAGAGCTTCGAATCCACGAAGTAACTATTGAAGAAAAAACAAAATTTTAATAATCAAAAGTTATGTCTCTAGGGCTTACAAGACCATACTTAAATAGAAAAGAAACAAGATTTTTACAAGGACTCAAACTCCTACAAGAACTCCAACTTACCAAAAATAGTAAAAGAATTCCTAAAATATTAAAACTCCTAAAAAGACTCCTTACGACTAGGAAAGTCCACCGCTCAAATCTGAGATCAAATCGTCTTTGTTTCCTAATCAAAACAGACTCCTAAAGTGTTGGCCTCTTTGTTTTGATGATGTTTAACAAACAATTTACCACTAATATTATTTGTCTAGTGTTTGTATATTTCTATTTATTATAGATAAACAACGTGTTGGAGGATGGATGGAATTACGCATTCACGATCATATCCAATAGAGGTTGGCGGAATTGTGGAGTGAAGCCTTGCATTTCAAGTTGTAAATCCAAGTTCAAGCTTCATCTGCAAGATTACCAAGTTGAGCTACAATGAAGATCAAGATCAAGCTTGGGTAACGTAGTTTAGGTTTTATATATTACATATTTCATACTCTATTGTGTTTTCATATATATTGCATAGAATATGCAATTTTGTAAAAATATTGTATTCTTTGTTTATGGACTTAATAACAATCATATATATTTTTTATTAAGTCTACAAAATCATTTTGTATTGTTTCAAAACATGGTTAAGCTAAAATGTCAAAACTCATATGTTCACATTTTCATGTTTTGGACTATTTTGTAAAATAATGATATTTTTCATTTGGGAGGTCCTTTCTAAAAACCAGTTTTTTAGCATGTGTATTATTATGTCTACAATCATTTCCTAAAGTTTTATAAGTTTTGAAATTTATTTGATATTTTTAAACAGGGTTTTAAAATCAGAAAATAACTTTCAAAACCTGTATATTTTCTATATCAGTTTGCGGTCGACCGTCACGGTCGACCGCCTGCAGTCCAGAAACCCAGCTTGTCTTTTTATGGCTCCCCCCCGACCGTGACGATCGACCGTGGCTCATCCAGAGACTTTCGCAGTCGACCGCCAGCTTTTCAAAACTGTTCTTTTGTTTCTCACGGTCGACCGCCGAACTGATGATTGCTTTCCAACGGTTATATTCTGATTTGTTTCTCTGGGGCTATTTTGGTCTTTTCAAGGTTGTTTTGGCTGATGTCTTGAGTGGGTATAAATATCCTATTGCCTTCAGCTCTTCAATAATAAGAGAGTGTTTTTAAAACAAGTTTAAAGAGTATTAAACAAGGGTTTAAGTTTGGTTTAAGTCTGTTTAAGAAGCTTTTAAGCATTTGAGAGTTTGAGTTTATGAAATCAATTTTACAAGAGCTTGAGGAGATCATCTATTGGTGTTTGAGCATCCACTACAACAAAAATGTTTTTTTATAGCGTTGAAAGTTTTCTAAACTCTATTTCTAGCTCTTTTACATATTTGATTTTCATTGTTATTAAGCTATAATTATCTTGAGTTTAGTTTTGATTTATATCTTTTTGTTCACACATAATCTATTGAGCTTATTGTATTTACATTCATAGTATAATTGGGTTGTGGGATTGTGTAACTTAGAGAGTAAGCTTATAATTCGTTCTCATCCATTGTAGAGAACAAACACTTTGTATTGTGCTTATTGGAAGATTCGAGGGATTAATTTGAGAATCTGAAAGGTTTAAGAGAACCGATGTCTGAAACCATTTTCTTTTGATTTTTGATTTTTTTTTGGGTAGTTATTTTGTGAGATTAGTTGTGATGAATATGTGATTTATTTGTGATGCAGAGCACTGGGAGCTCAGGGAGCAATTTGATAACTGGGTAAGTTTTTAATTTTGAAATTTCTTTTGAAATTCCTGTTGAGTTTAATTTGATAACTGGGTAAGAGTTTAATTTTGTTTTTCTGTTAGGTATTTGAATGATAATTGCATATTAGTTTGTTTAGGGTTTTCAATTTTAGGCTGGGTTTATGATTTGAGTTTATTATATGTTTCATTCGAATGGTATAACTTGGTATGATAATGAGAATGGGTTCTTCAAATATCAAATCACTTCCCTCTCGTTAAAACAAAAGCTTTCAATTTCAGTAGCGGTGATAAAATGTTTCATTTATGCACACACCTATGCAACTATTATATATCTTGTTTGAACAATCTTCGACTTCATGTTGTTATCTTGATTTTCACTTCCTAGGCTAGTTTTCAAATACATAGCATATGTAGTAAGGACCAATATATATATATTGACTATCATATGACATAGACCATCTCCTGGATCTCCTTAGAATACATTCACCGTGTATACAACAATGAAAGGGCTACCATTACTAGAATTACTACTTTTAGTTTTAATTTCGCTGTAAAGTCTTCATGCTTTTCTGTCTGTTTTTTTTAAAGTAAGTTAACACGAGTTTTATACAATATATGAATGGAAAACTTCAACCCTGCTATCCTGGCTATTAGGAAATGAAATGAGGAGACAAATACACGTTTCGAACAAAAAAAACCATGTGCAGGTTTTCTCTTTGGGTTTTTTTTTTAAATTGAGTTTTTGTGGGATATCATTGGTTAAGATACCATTAAATTTTTCTTTACTTTAAAGGTGCATAAGCTATCAGTTATGCAACTCACAATAGATACTTGCTGATTAAATGATCTCTGATGACAGTGAGTATTTATTCCTTTTATTTATTAGCAGGGCCCTTGTACTGTCAGCAAAATATCCCATGATGTCATTGATTCTTCTGTTACTTCCATTATACCTCCCAGGGATGAGTCTTCGCTTCCATGGTACTTCCTTTATCTAGGTTTCTAAGGAACACAAGCAAGGTTTATGTTTCCTACTGCTTATTATACACTTTCGATGTTCAACCTCAGTGATAAGGCTAACATTCTTAATGATGTGGGACGTCCTGACTCGTCTGCCAAAGAAAGTGGTGAACAAGGATTTCGGAAGATTGAAAAATGTAGTCTGAGTGCCTTGCGCAATGTTGTTGAGATTCATTTGGGAAATGAGAAGTCTTCAGATTCTGCAAAAGTTGATATGGTAATCATTAAACTGGCTAGCCCTTGCAGTTCATTTACACTTGAAATCCTTTAATGTGTGAATCCTGCTTGACTGGTCTTTTCATTTATAGCAAACAGCATTAAAAGGATTAGTTGCACGTGATATCCCTGGCAGCTCTAGTTCTTGGGCCGACTCTTCACTGAAGCATGGTGATCTTCTGTCAGTATCTTCAAGAAGTTTCTGTTCTGAATTTCAAATTCCTGGCTGTAAGACTCCTGTAATGTCGAAAGAAAATTCACCAAAAACGTATTAGTTCCAAACAACATTTCATATACAGTTATACATTTTTATGGTATGGTCCTTCATGCTTATAGTTATCTTCGATAGGAATTTGGAGTTGACCTAGGTAAACTTGAGTATGGTTGGGAACAAATTGTAAGATTTGTAATGTTCTTTCATGAAGCTTCCACATCTTCGAGTTGTATGTCATGTCTGAGGGCTTTTATAAAAAAATGTTTAGGAATATTTGATGTATCATTAGCTCCTAGAATTCCCTGATTATGTGCAAAACTGAGCAACTTCTATGGTAGTGGCTTGCTCACAGATACATGTTGAACATTCACAGCATATATACCAAAGAGACTAATGGTTTTCTATAACTGACATTATTTCATTTAAATTTTTTATTGGTTTTCATTTATATCCCTTACACATCTCCATCATTTTAACTAGATTTTCTAACAATTATTATTATTACTATTTTTTTTGAGTTGTCAGAGAATGCAGAATGAGCAGAATGGGTCCGAAATTGATAAGACTAGTCCTAAGGTAAATAATTAAGTCAATTATCTAGCATGTTTCTTTTTATTCGATTATGAGGTATAAAATTTGAAAATTGCATGTGTTATTATCCGGATAGAGTTTTATGTTCTAATTATAGTCTGATACATTGTAGAGTATGTGCCCTAAACCAAATGACAAGTGCAAGCTTTTAGATTGGTGTGGAATAGATGAGGTTGTAGCTGAAGGACGTTGGTGTTCTAGTGACCCAAAGGAGCTTGTAAATCATGCTCATCTTGGACCTAATGTAATGGAAGTGTTGGTAGACATTCCAAACAAACCAGAAGCTTTTCTTTGGAGGCCTACAACTAATATGTTCTGTATGCAACAAGCTCAGGGGAAGACAATAGCGTGGCCAGCTGATAAGGTGGTGTTCCAAATCAGTCATCAATCTGACAATGAAGACAATATATCCATGCATTCGGTAAAATAATTTTTAGCTTGCTCATTTACTTTTATTACTCATATTAGTTATCTTACATATAAATAGTTAAGTCGAGTTTGTTTGTTTTCATTGATTGGTAGAGTAAAAATATGAATCATATAAAGTGCAAGATCTTCAATTGGACCGGAAAAGATGAAATTGTTGCTGAAGGTCGTTGGGTTTCCAATGATTCAAAAATGCTTGTTAATGGCGTTCCTCTCGGACCTATTGCCATGATTGTTTGGGTTGATGTCCCGACAAGTACTCAATTGCTGGTAAGTTATACATCTTGCAATCATGTGTTTTTACTTTATCATGTTTGTATAGTTGTAATTTTGGTGTTGTTAATTTTTGTTTTTGCAGCAGTACAAGTACTCAATTGCTGAAGATGATGAGTCTCCCAAGTCATATGTAATACAACAAAGTTAATTAGTTTTTGTTGTTCTGTGTACTATGGTTAATTTCTTGTACTCCATGTTGGATTATCCAAAGACTGCTATTTGTTTTTTGGCACATTTGTGTTGACTCTTCTTGTATGCTACAACTTTGTTATGTATCAGTTTGAACCTTTAAATGAAATATTTGCTTTTATGGTTGTCATAATTGGAAGCTATTTATAGTTCAACATCAAAGGTTTATAGGCACAACTGAAATGCTATAAGAAGTGGAAACAATTGCTGAAATGCTATTAAAAGAAGAAAGACAGCATTCGCTGAAACGCCATTATAGTAACTCAAACGCTATCAAATGTAAGACAATAGCAGCGTTGAAATGCTATGAATGAAAACTAACTAATAGCGTTTTTCAACCGCTATGAAAGATATTTGTCATAGCAATATAGAAACGCTATTGAATACTCTTTTATAGCTACATAAAAACGTGAGAAGTTTTCTAAACTCAATCTAGCTTTACATTTTATATTGTTTGATTATCATTTTATTAAGCTAGTGTTCATATTGAGTTTAGTTGATTTTATTTTCTCTTTGTTTACACACACACACAACCATTGAGCTTATTGTATTTACATTCATAGTATAATTAGGTTGTGGGATTGTGTAACTTAGAGATTGAGCTTATAATTTGTTCTCATTCATTGTAAAGAACAAACACTTTGTATTATGCTTATTGTGAGATTCACTTTGTAATACACTTGTACACCGAAAGAAGTGTGTGGTGAGAGTCGGGAATCATCCCAAGAGGAGTGACGTCGGTTGACGAACCTAGGGAGAGGTTGTATCCGAGCACTTGAGGGAGACACGTCTAGTTCAACACTTGAGAGGGTGTAGAGTGGGATTACAAGAGTGTGTTAGTTGTAGAGTTTTCGATAAACTAGAAAACCGTATTATGTGGTGTAAACATTGTTCGGGTAAACATAGAAAACCCGATTGTAATAGTGGATATCTCCTCGAGGTGAGGAGCGGAGACGTAGGTCAAGTGGTTAGACCGAACTCCGTGATCATATCGTTTTGTTTGTGATTGCATTGACGTTCTTATTCTTGTATTCATATCGTATATCACCTTTGTGTATTGCTCTTCATATTGCCCTATATCTTTTGTAGATTATTTATTTTACCCTTGTGTTAGTTTATATATCATTGCTCATATATTTGCAATATCTCATTGCTAGGATATATTCATTTGTTCATATTGCTTATTCTTGCTCATAATTAGTTGTATATCTATCTTGCAAGAATATATTTGTTAATAAGTTTTAATTGGCATATAATCAGATTAGATAAGCATAAGACCCTAATCACCCCCCCTCTAGGGTCTAACATAAAGCATTACTAAAAATAGTAAAAAATGGATAAAAATACAGATATATCTCAAACCGTAAGAAATTTGACAAAACAGAGGAAGCAAACCGAACCCATAGGGGTCAGTTTAGATGGCTCCGTCTCATTGAGATAGTCGATTTTCATAATAATTCGTCCAATTCTGACGTACGGTTTGAAAGTTACGGTCGTTTCTTCGAAACGAGTTATTTTTTCTGACCAGACCCACATTTAGGCTTGCGACTGTCCCACTTTGACATAAACGTGTCTGTCGTATGTTCTACATCAGTCCCCCTTGTTTGAAAAGAGCTCGATCCCGAGCTTAAACTTGTATGAATAGCTGTTTCTTCTGGCGGGTAATACTCAAACAAATCTGCAACATTAAAACTAGGAGAGACCCCCAAATCTGTAGGAAGGTCAACCACATAAGTATTGTCACTAATCTTCTTCAGTATCTTGCATGGACCATACTTCTTATTCTTCAGCTTGTTGTAGGTATCCACGGGAAAACGTTCTTTTTGCAGAAGCATCATCACCATGTCTCCCTCTTCAAACACCTTTTTCCTCTTGTGTCGATCAACATCATCCTTATATTTAGTATTAGACTGTTCTATCTTCTCCTTGACTTTCTTTTGGATAGCCCGTATCTTTTTAACCATATGATATGAATGAACACTTTGTCCGGGAAGCTTAGGCAGTGGAGCAAGGTCAAGATAATGATTCAGAAACCTTTCATACACAATCACAAAGGGAGCCTTGCCTGTAGTTCAATTCTCCATACACTTATAAACAAATTCAGCATATGCCAGAGCAAGATCCCACTACTTCGGACGATCACCAGAGATGGATCTAAGAAGGTTACCGAGAGTGCGATTTACTACTTCAGTTTGGCCATCCATTTGAGGGTGATAAGCAGTACGTACTGAAAATTAATAAGTTATCCTAGCAAGTATAAAATACAACAAGATACGTAAGCTAGGATAAGCAATATGAACAAATGAATATATCCTATCAATGAGATATTACAAATATATGAGCAAGGATATATGAACTAACACAAGGGTAAAATAAACAATCTACACAAGTGATAGGGTAATATGATGAGCAATACACAAAGGCGATATAAGATATGAAAACAAGAATAAGAACGCCAATGCAATCACAAACAAAACGATATGATCACGGAGTTCGGTCTAACCACTTGACCTACGTCTCCGCTCCTCACCTCGAGGAGATCTCCACTATCACAACCGGGTTTTCTACGTTCACCCGAACAACGTTTACACCTCACAATACAATCACTATGTAATCACACCTCACACACTAAGTGTTGGTCCTAGCCCGTGTCCTCCTCCTCAAGTGCTCGGTTACAACCTCTCCCTAGGCACGTCAACCGACGCCACTCCTCTTGGATTTGACCCCGTCTCTCACCACACACTTCTCTCGGTGTACAAGTGTATTACAAGTGAATCCTCACAATTAGGCTCAATACAAAGTGTTTGTTCTCTACAATGAATGAGAACGAATTATAAGCTCACTCTCTAAGTTACACAATCCCACAACCTAATTATACTATGAATGTAAATACAATAAGCTCAATAGGTTGTGTGTGAACAAAGAGTATCAATAAAACAATTAAACTAAACTCAAATATAAATCTAGCTTATGAAAATTATAATCAAAATAATAAATTGCTAGATGAGTTTAGAAACACTTCTCTAGATCAAGATGGAGAGGAGAGATGGAGATTTGAGGCCCAAACAAGAAGATAATCTCCTCCACTTGTGAAAACTAAACTTGCTTTAAACTAAACCCTTAAACAAACTTAAACAAGCTTAAACTCTTTTTAAAACCCTTGTTTAAAAACTTCTTTAAAACATTCTTAGATTACCTGAAAAGAGATCAGCAATTGGGTATTTATACCCACTCAAGATCTCAACAAAACTCCAAACAAAATAACAAAACAGTCCCCAGAAGACAGCTCAGAAAAATAGCCATTAGTGTCTAACGGATCTATTGTCGGTCGACCGACAGAATGTTCGGTCGACCGAAAGAAGGAATTCGGTCGACCGACGAAAAATCCGGTCAACCGCGAGCAGGTCTGAAAAACAAAGAAACAAGCAGAGACTTCGTCGGTCGACCGGTGCGGTCGACCGATGGAGCTTTCGGTCGACCGGACCGGTCGATCGCCAAATGAAAAATATCATCATTTTGCAAGATAGTCCAAAACACGAAAATGTAAACATGTGAATTTTGACATTTTGGCTAAACCAACTTTTGAAACTTTACAAAATGATTTTATAGACTTGAAGAAAGATGTAAACTATTGTTATGAAGTCTATAAACAAAGAATATAGTATTTTATCAAAATACACATATAATACACTAAAACATGATTTCATTTAACTAACTAAAATTGATATTGATGAAATCATATATATGCATATGAGTATGAAACAAAAATATATTTTCTAATTATATTCAATTGTTTCATAGTAAAACTTGAAAACTATCAAACCAAAACATATATGTATATATATAACTATATATATACAAAAACCAAAACGTGTATGTGTGTATATGATTGAGCTTAAAGTACTAACACACATAATATAAATTCCTAAACTAAATTACCCAAGCAATGATCTTGATCTTCAATAAGCTTGACTTGGTAATCTCGCGGATGAAGCTTGAACTTGGATCTTGAACTTTGAATAGCAAGGCTTCACCGACATTCCGCCAACCTCCATTGGATTTCATCGTTGAAGCTCTATTCCATCCATCCTCCAACCACATTGTTTGTCTATAATAAATAAGAAAACACAAATACTAGACAAATAACATTAGTGGTAAATTGTTTGTTAAACATCATCAAAACAAGAAGGCCAACAAAGAGAAATATTAAATCGCTTCCATAAAGTCCTCCAAAAGTGGGATAAGAACTTAGAATCATGATCGGATGTGATGGATTTTGGCACTCCATGAAGGTGAACTATCTCCTGAAAGAAAAGATTAGCAACGTGGCTAGCATATGTAGTCTTCTTGCATGGAACAAAGTGCGCCATCAGGAACAGGTAAAGGTGTATACAATCCCATATTCTGAGACTGTCTCTTAGCAACTTGACAAAATGGACAACGCCGCACGTATTTTTCTGCTCCCTTCTTCAACTGAGGCTAGTAATTTCTCTCTTCAATAGAAGCAATCATCTTGTCTCGCCCTAAGTGTCCTCCTAACCTGCCAACATGAAGGTCTCTAATTATCTTCTCTCTTAGCGAACTCTGAGGTATGCACAACTGATCGCTATGAAATAAATAACCATCCTAAATATAAAAGCCTTTGACTAATTTATTCTATTAGCAATCATCCCAAATCTCCTTAAAGTCTTCATCCTCTGCATACAGCTTCTTTAGGTACTCAAATCTAATCACTTCTGCTTGCAAAGTCACCAACAAACTAGCTCTCCGATTGAGTGTATCTACAACCTTATTCTGCTTCCCGGATTTGTGCTTCAAAAAAAAGGTGAAACGCTATAGATACACAATCCAACGAGTATGCATAAGGTTAATGGTAATCTGATTATTAAGGTACTTCAGGGCCTGATGATCAGTATGAAGCAAAAACTCTCGCGAGATCAAATAGTGCTCATACCGCTTCAAAGACTGAACTATGGCATATAACTCTAGCCCATATGTGGTTCACTTCTGCCGAGCTTCGCTGAGTTTCTCACTGTAGAAAGCAACGAGATGTCCTTCTTGAGA